AGATTTTCCAGGAGTAAGAATTTAGTTTGACGTTGCTTTGCAATCATTTGAGAAAGGATAAGTCAGGTGATTTACAAATGATAGAAAAAGCTTAGTTTTCTGGTCTGGTCATGCCAGAATGGACGCAATATTTGACCATGCATTCCGATGCGACGTCTCTTGTGATCGTTTTTACTTTGATTCTCTTAATGGCTGAGCTGACTGCTCAATGTAATAATCAAGAGAAGTCGAAGGTGTAACCCGACTTCCATTTCGCATAGATAATGATAATATGATATCATTGATTTTAGTACAAACAAATTTAAATTAGGCATTCAGGTAGTATTTTATCCTTACAGAAACAGACCTGCGCGCGTTTGTATATATGGTGAATCTTTGCAGATATTATATGCTCGTATTTCTGTTAAAGTTATACATCATCGAATTTATTGTACAGTACCTTCATATTATTCGTATGGATGCTGGGATGCCTTTCCATAACCGTTTTACAGTATGCTTAACGATGGATCGTAGTACATTGTTTATACGAACCGTTGACGACAAAATTGTCATCTTACCCGTGTCCTGTCTGAGATTCGTCTCCCGTGACAGATGTTGGCAATTTTAGTGCCGTCCCTGTGAAAATTGAGTTTCGTCGAGCGATTGATTTTGGCGTCATTTCGGTGATCGATTTGGCTGCAGTTCGGCGCCGACAGCTGTCGACTATTTTTACACGTTTCTTTGAAGAATGAGATGAAAGCCGCATTAAATGTTTGTTTGTTCGTGGTGCGAGGTCCGTCGCCTCCTCCTTTGCTATGGGGCAGCAGCTACTGCACTTAAAGCTCTGCTATACACATAATTTGGCAGATTCTCATCCCTTTCACTCAACAAATAGTGACTTGAATTCTACTCTCAAAGGTTGCGAGCGATGATTAATGCATCGAGCGAGACTTATTCATTTTCTTGGCCGTTTTGAACCTACTGATCTTAAGATCGCTCTTCGATTACGATATACCATCCACAGAGCAATTACGAAATGCATTTCTGGAGTAAATACGCGATAGTCCGGCAGGTTATCTCCGATGAATGACCATCGCGTAGTAACGGTTTTCGTTTTACGAAAAATGGTTAACGATGATCAACACAGAACGAGAAATTTGTGAAATGTCCAATAGTCGTCGATATGCTTATGACCTGGCTCTCCGATGTTTATTGATCCCTAAATTTAGACTGGGGACCATTACTGCTCGATGGATTATCCCTTTTTGGTCGTGGGCATTAAATCTATAAATTCTGCTGGCTGAGTTTTCGACTAGATAATGTATCGTAAATCCAACGATAGATGACAATGATTTAGTGCTAGCGGCAGGTGAATGTAAATTCAGAAAGTGTATCCGTTCATTTCTTCATGTGTTCGAATGCCATTCAATTTTAATGCCTGCTGCTCGTTTCGTTTAAGGGCTGTGGCTGCTTGTAAATGCCTTTGGAGTTGTCTCGATTCGCTACCAGGTAGATCCGGGCTATTCAGCCGATATAGCATCAGGCCCATAAGCGAGAAGTCCTAGTTCGTACTCCGGAGGGTCACTCGCCTTTCTTCCTTCTGAGGTTAATTAAGAAGCACCACTCTGTGGGAAGGAAACGATCAACTGCACACTACGTCTGTCACATGGCTGCTGTTAACTCTGCCATAAAAATTAGGCGCTCCTGGTTGACAGCATGGAAATGAAGATCCGCGTCTCCACCACTATCTGCATGAAAAGAAGGACGTCGGAAACAATTCTGTCATGAAAGCGTAAGGAAGACTGATCTCCAAACGTTTATAAAATGTCGTTTTTACTATTCGCGCATCCCTGTAGCTTTGCCAAGAGACTGCATTTGGTTGGTGTTTCAGGTCTCTTTCGCAGCTCATGTTCAGACTTTCGCCTGGAGTAAGAGCGGTTCACAATCGAGGGTAAAGAGTTGCCATGTTCCAGATTTTTCGACTCTTTTAATGTTAGAAATCTTTCTGAAAAACGTCCTTCTTTTCTATTCTTGTGTCCAGGATTACCCTCTTTCGGTAAATATTTAAAATTCGTAACCATAGTCAGGGTAGATGGATTTGTGCGTTGACGGACTTGAAGCCAAATCGCTCTGCAGTGCAGCGGCATGTCGCGCCGTATTGGACTAATCATTTAAAAGATAAGTTCCATGCCATTCGGGAAAGAAACAAAAATGAAGCTTGTAGCCATTGGAAGGCCTTTTTAATGGTATAGCCGATGTATGATACCATTCGTGGAGTTCGTGTAAATATAAAATGAAGCGAAGCATTGATTGACTAAATGGATGAATGAGTGACCATTTTACCTAATGGCCGAGTGAAAAAGTGACTCAGTGAGTGATCTACTCGCGAATCAATGAGGTGATCGACTGACATACAGATTCTTCTGTCTAAGGAATAAGAACTTATTGCTCAGAATATAGAGCTAACCATTAAAAAGGAAAATAATTTATGTCTACCGTTTCTCCATATCATAGTAATCAATTCTGATAGTTGCCATAAAACCGAAGTTGGTCGTAAACTTATTGACACTGATAAATATCTAAACGTTAACTCACATAATCGTTTAAATGACATAAGGTCTGTGATTATAGCTTTAATAGACAGAGTTCTTAAGCTATGTTTTTATGAATTTCTGAAAGAAGAAATAAAACATTAAGACAGCGTTGTGTGATAAAAATAACTGTCCTGTTAATACGTTCGTTAATAATAGCAAAATCGTAATTAGTTATTTTAAACCGATGGTTCAAGAAGTAACATTTCGAATAATGAACCTTACTTAATTCTACCGTATCATAAAAAATTTAGTGAACAATTGCAAATACTGCTTGACACTAAATACAGCAATAATGCCATATATAAATGCTCCAATAAAACTCTGATAATAACAGTTCTTTAGGTTGGTTTTACAGATTGCAGCCGCAGGGGATCTATATAGGCGAAACCGTAATTTTCGTCACCCAAAGAACAAAAGAGAACCTGTCAAACTGAAGAAAATGGATGACCACTGACGACATGCAGCAACGAAGTCTCCAGGCAGGAAACAAACCCTTTCTTATAACGATTTCTCATATATAGTCATGGTTAAATTGCACTGACATCGTTAAAGAAAGGAACTAGCTCACCAGACGAATCAAAGAAGTTTTAATTATCCAATCCTGCAAAGTATTAACGGGGGACAAAGGATACGAACTCTGCAAATTAGGCAGACTTCGTCAAGCCCATCTCCAAAAAATTACGTAACTGGCAACATTTGCCAAAAGCACACCTAGAACCGATGCGAGCTGTAAAAACAAATGCAGAAGTTAACCGGGATCTTCCTGCAGAAGGCTCGTGAGAGACCAGCCGAACCGTCGTCACTGGTTAACTCATGATCAACCAACTTATTCGTTTACGTGGTGTATAAATAAACCATTTTACGCATTTTTTAGCTTTTAATGGTGACGGTTATATGATGATGGCATTGACCATAATGGCGGTAATTATGACTTGTGATTATGGTAATACTATTGAATGATTATACTAATTTTCACAGCAGTGTTGATGATGATAATGGTAGCAGTAAATTCCAGTAGTGGTTGTGATGAGATATGGTGACAATTATGTTTATAACAATATGAAGTAACGAAATTGCTTTCAATCACAGCGATGTACATATTGACAATAATGACGATGAAACTGATCATAATGACGACGGTACTGTTTATGATTACGAAAATAGTGTTGATAAAATTATGGTTTTAGGGGCTGTAGTGATGACTAGTTCGGTGAAGATTCTAATGTGATGGATAATGGTTATGATAATGATGACGGTGGTAAAATGGTAGTCAGTGACATTTACTGATTATACTGAATCTGGTGAAAGAATATTACTACTGTTGATAATGATACTGATATAAGTAAATGATGGTATGATGATTGTGAGAGTGACGACGGTTATATCTGTGATAAAGTAAAAGCGATAAAAGTGGTGGTAATTACGATAGACAAGGCGATATTACTGAATAGATAGTGGTTATAGGTAATGACGCTACTGTTAATAACACTGATAGTGTTACAGTGGTGACGTTGGTATTTGACACACGCTTGTGCATGTTTCTTTTTGGTAGTGAGATTTATATATTCTTGGTTTATTATAGTCACTTTCCATAAGCAGCTCTATCAAGTGAGAGGAATTTTTTGGTGTAGTTTCAGAAGCAGGGCTTTATGTACTTGCTGGGATGGGGATTTCCGTGGAAACACGGTCCCAAATTTTTTTAGTTTTATTTAAGCGTCTCAGTTCAAAATTGAGACTTATTTCTGAATCTCGCTTCTGCTTTCTACACAAGGGGGGCTACGACTAATCGTATGGAGATGTTCTGGTGGCCGTAACAGCTGTGACGAATTCAGAAACGGCAGGCTACTAGAGTTGATAGATTTTCTCATATTATTAAGGCAGATTTGAGAGAGAGAGAGAGAGAGAGAGAGAGAGAGAAAACAATGTTTTCCATATGAGTGCAAAGGAAAAAAATTGATGATCATTGAAAATCAGCATTCTAGCAATGTGATGTCGTTTACCAGGCGGTTCATGCATAAGCTTTCAATTAAATTCATATAATAATGGCATTATAGCACTTGTCACCTGTCTTTAATTGTGGTCTTTATGGGCCACTTTTTAACTTCCGCAGTGAAGTTGCTTTTGTCAAAGGTATCTTGTTTGCATCATCGCGTGATGCGATCCTCCCTGTTGTCTGTCCACTTACGGACAGGCGGCGTCCAATCGGTGCATATGAGCCAATGCGTAGCGCTTCCTGATGATTAACGTATGTCAATAACTCGTTACCTATTGATTTTAAGCGGTCACTCACTCGCTATCCGCTACCGCCGCTCGGTTTTGCTCCTGCTGGCGCGTTAATATGCGTTCTTTAGCCATTGCACTTGTCCGACGTCCGCATTTGGTTCTCAGGTTGCCATCGTTGAACGGAGGCTACCGCAGCGATCGAGAGAAAACGCAACGCGTCCTTCGATGGCCGTCGCCGCGACAGTGGTCAATAAATCGGCGATGATCGCCATCGCCTTTGGAACCGGCGTTTTCGCATTCTACGTATTCAGGAAGACGTGGCTGGCGGGTAAGCAGCAGTGACGAGGAGCAAGGGGGAGGACTCTTCGTGGCGTCGGTCGAAGACATTTATAGAGTTGGATCCTGGTTGACGAATTCGTCTTATTTCATTTTCGTTTCTCACATGCCTATCGACAGAGGGTGATTTGTACATAGTTCGGCATACTTCCTTACCCCTTGATCCTGTCCCTTGTCGTTCATTCCAGCACCCAGCCCGGGGCACCGCTCGCGGCGCGACGGTAGCTACCGCGGTCGTTATGGGCTTTAAAATAAAACACCGTCTTGTACGCAGGACTCAAACGTGTTTGGTTTGCCGTGTCCAAAGGCATGGGCAACGATGCTTCGAAGGCAGGCGGTGGCACGAAGACCGCCGGAAAGAAGATGTCGTTGAAGAACGGCGTCAGTAGACCGAGCTGCGATGGCAGTGCCGCCAATGCCGAGGAGAAGCAATCGTTGCTGCTTACCCCGTCCACCAGGTAGGTTGTTGTGCTGTGAGTCCTTTTTCCTCAAAGTGAATCCAGTGTTTACTACGGCAGGACCGTGGGTGACGACGGCTCGAACGTCGCTATTTCGAATATCGGCTCCAAGTGCGAATGCGACCTGGAGGAGACAGACGACAGCGACGAAGACAGCGGCGATAACAGTGAGATCGAAGCGAGTGACACCGCGGTCGTCGACCTGCAATTTCAGAAACGCGAGTCGTCACTCGCCGACATGCTAATCACCTTGGACAGTTTGTTCCGCTACTCGAAGATCATCAACGACGAGGAGGCGCGACTCCTGAACACCCTGCTACGCCTGAAAGCGCCAGACACATTGCTGAAGGTGCTTACCACTCTCAGCAATCTCGCGACATTCACTCTTAATCAGGTAATCAATGAATCAGTTGAATGAAAATTGGCAGCGGTTCTTTTCTTTCATGCTCTTTCCTGCATGCTCTCTGTTAACAGCGTCGTCCGTAGTTCAGCTTCATGCACCATATGCTTCTCAAGAAGAAGATTTGTATATGTCTATGTGATGATATTACGTCTAATCGTGTATTGGTAACATTGTTTCATAGCGATCAAATATTATACAGAATAAAAAATAACTGTTTAATGGCATCTATGAAGGGTCAGTTTTTAGCAGTTGTTGTTTGTTCTACACGCAACAGCAACACCCTCTCGTTTGGGGTCTGAACGATGAGACTGTCATGCAACATGAGCAGGCTAGAGGGAGAGCCATTCCATTGAAATAATCCTTCTAAGCAACACCAAAAAGAAACAGGCTCTCACCTTCTCAGTTCTACTGTCCTTTTTGCAGTGTTTTATAGTTTGGAGAGTGGTCACTCACTAAAGCGAAAGAACGCCAGCTGTTTATCACGGAAAAGGCCATGGAAAGAAAAGTGTTGGGAGTCTCGTATGTCGACCTCATCCTCAACACGATACCCAACAACGAACGGAAACGATGAAAGACATAGTCATCAAAAGCCTAAGGACGAAGCTACGGTGCCTGTCCACGTAGCTCGGTTCATCGGCGGGCGATGGTTGTTGACGATCTTTGAATAGTACCCACGGTTGGACTAGGCCATGGTGTGGTAAGATTATGTCAGGAGTTGGGAAGGTCACGCTTGGAGCGATATTGTGATGGAGAAGGCTGAAGAAGAAACCGCGAGGAATGTCAGGGTGTGGCGACCGACACGATTACCTCCTACCGCTTGGTCCAAGTGATCCAAATGAAGCTGTTTGTTGTGTAATATCTAATCGCGACGGCTGCGAAATAATGCTATTTTACATGCATGATGCAACGTAATATCATATGTTTATTGTATTATCAATTAACTATGAATCTTCGTCAAAGAATCTATATATTAACACTGTAGTACTTATAATAGCATTTAATTTGTAGCTATCATGCATTATTAACTGTTAGATACCATCGAATGCACGTGAACGGTTATAATTTGATTTTAAGCTGTTTATTGCTGTCATGTTACGAAATAGTTTCTTACTTTGAACCGATTCTGTGGAAGTGTAATGGAAGGATTAGGATGGATGGAAGCTATTATCCGGTGTTATACAGTCCGTCATTGCTTTTAGTAATCTAGGAGACCCTTTAAGCAAGCCACTGCTCCAAGGTATTTAAACATCTGCAATGCATGTGACGCATACATCGTGTCACTGAATCTGAACGGGCCGGCTCAATTCTGTGGCAAGAGCAAAATGAACGTTCTCACCATCTAATGGTTATTAAACCGCAAGCATTACAGAAAGTATCATAACTGTTTATTATTACAATTCTTATGTGGTGGATAGAAGGACTAATATGCCGTATCGTTTACCTTACAGACGGACGATAACGGCTGATCGCCAGATTGACAGAAGAACCTACCTGACTGAAAAGATCATCATTCAGGGTTTTGAATTTTGCTCCCCTTCCATCTGATCAGAGGATGGTAGTTCTCATTATCAGTATTTGGTATTCAAGCAATAATGGTATGATATGATATGACGTTACGTTGCGAAAGTTGTCGCTGTTACTTAGGAGTTCATCTTTCATCACCTACCTAACATGTAGTGGCTCAGTCACAAATCGTTTTACAGTTGCTCCGTTTAACGTTAGTTATTCCCACACAAATGACTGTCTTTCACGCACACTGATCCCCATAACAAAAAGATGATGGGTATGAAATTAAGCTTTTGGAGAAAAAAGAAATCAATGCAATAGGTATCGGCTGTATCTTCCAATTATCACACCCATAGTTAACGGTTACTTCCTCATCTGTGTTTTTTCTTGAGAAACACGTATGTAGCTTCTGTTTATCGCAGTTCTAATACGGCGCTTATGGTGTAATTTAGTTCTAATTAGCCATTGAAACGTTAAAAAAAATCCCATAAATACCATGATATAATGAAAGTTGATTTTCACGCCACCTTGCAGCAAGTACCTAACAAAAGCCAGTCATCGACGATATCACCTGTTGATTGCGTATCAGAGATATCAATTGGAATGATCAGGAAAGTTTTGTCGATGCAATCGACGTTAGTGACATTAGTGAAAAATGTTGCAACTAAAGTTTCTTGTAGTTAATTTAACGCAGCATTCTTCTCGCGCTGATTGCAACTTGGACCAAAGTCTGTCTGGAGTTTTTGTCATTTTTCGTCTGGTAGAAAATCTTGATGATGGTCAGTAATTGTGGTTTTGATTTTGTTGTTGAATAGGTTCTTATCTTTGATGAATTTGTTTTGAAGGAGGAAGAGATAAAAGGAGTTCACTGCCTGGGGGGGTAGTAAGCGTTTTCTCATTAACTACTGTTTGGTCGTTCATTGTTCTCGTTCATGACGGTGACGGCAGTGTGAGATAATAAGGAATTAGATGTATTTCGCTTAATGGTCAGGGGGGGGCAAGAAAGTTAAAACTACAAGCGTCAGTCGGTCATTTTCGATGACCGTTTATCGTTTTGGATCGCAGAGGCAGACTCGTTGGACAGTGTCTCCAACGTTGTTGATCCTGTTCCGACATTTGAACTCCAACAGAAGATAATCCGAATCTTGAGCAGAGTCCTTCGATACACTTCGGTCAGGTTATTCTTGGCCGTCCACGAGATCTTCGGTCGGTAAGTCGAGCAAGTAGTAGTTGCATCGCCTTATTTTTTGTCTCTCGTGCTCAATACTCACCCAAACCATCGCAGCTGTGACTTCTGGATCTGAAGAAGTAGTGGCTGTATATCAAAGGTCTCGGGGATTTTTGTTCTCTAGACCATGTCAGCCGCTTGTACCCGAGAGGGACGTTTTTCATTTATGATCCACTACTCATGGCCGTAGGTAAACATGGGCTGAAGATCAGCTAAACATCGAGAACTTAGACTTCGATTCGGCTCTTTTTTTAGTCAGAACGGTTCGGGCTGTTTCATGCAGAGTGCTACAGAAATATCGGTTCTTCCTTACACTTTCATGATGAGTTCGTTTTTGGCTCCCTTCTTTTCATAAAGTTAACGACGAGGTGCTGATGTCCATTTCCATGACTTTATTTTAGAGGAAGAATCGACAGCAGCTATGTGGCAAGCAGCGTAGTGACTAGGGTCCTATTTCCTTCCTCTGGAGTGATACTTGGAAGGAAGAAAAACGACCGATTTGACCGGGACTCGATTCCGTGACCTCTCGGTTCTGCGTCATACACTCTACCGACTGAACAAACCCCATCTGAAGCAACATGAGGAAAATTCCTTGCTCAGGAGAATTCGTGGTTAAGAAAAAAGATTTCCATTCGCTGGAATCGAGCTCTGTACCTGTCGAGTTAGAAGCCGTTTTACTACGCACTATGCGAGTAAGCCAAACAGCGAGTGAATGATTGAAAACAGAGGGACTGTATGTCAGACCAAAGTAAAGTAAAGTGAATGTATTCTCTGTACTCCTTGTTTATTGCTGGCCCACTGTCAAGCTAAAATAATCAGAGACTAGAAATTGGAGAGTTGACAGTGTGGCGACTTATTGGGAATTAATTGCTTCCGTAGTTTTATGCTCTATGAATCCCTGATGCAGTATTTCGATCATCCCGCAAATAAGATGGATATTTATGAAGGAATGAACGGGTGGGTGAATGAATAAATGGTAAATGAACGAACGAATGAATTCTGGAAGGAACAGTAAGTCAATGGCAAAATTCGCAATGAGGTTTTGTTAAAGGAATACAACGTTCATTTGCAGTATGCGTAATTTTTTTTAATTTGGGGGTGGGGGAGGGAGGCTTCCTCGAGGAAAAAATGAGTCCAGACATTTTTTCTAAACTGATGTGATCAACACTCTGTAATTCTATTCATCTTCTGCCCACTTGCGTTGCAGCATGGAAAAGCGGCTTTCAGAGTTATACAAGAACGCTGATACAGACTGTCATTCCGTTTCCGTACATAAACTTTGAACATGAGCTTTATTCCGTCTGTCGCACAGTGCCGTTGGGTTTCCAGAGGCATGTCGTGCGTTGCCTGTCGTGAATGGGTGATGTTCTTGAGTTATTCCCATTTCTTGGTAACCGTCGGATAGGTTGTTATTCACATGAACGGCACCGGTATATGTAGTGCGGGGACGCCAAACACCTTCACAGAACCATGAGATCGCCGCCACGTTACTCTGATGTTACTTTTCTTCCTTCTAACTTATATGCAGCTTGCATGGTATTGCTTATCAATACCATATGTGTCTTATTTGTGATACGAGACGGCTATTGCTAAC